ACTAGTAGTTTAAAGAGTTCCTGAAGATCAAAATGTCATTTTGTTAAGTGTTTACTTCTAAGGATTTTTTAAATGAGTCCATTAAAATTCTCTTAGAGCCTTGATTTGTTGAGGTGAGTATTACAAGACTTCCTGTGAGGTTTAGAAAAGGCCACATTGGATTCACAGACTTGTTTGGGGACAGCACTGTGGGGAGCCAAGTGAGAGTCACACAGTTCCTTCCAGGGCGACTGTCCCCGCCACCTGCTGGGTTCTTCTGTGGCACACACGTTTTACTGAGCACTTGGATGTGCAAGACCCGGCTGGCTAGAAGGAGATTAGGGTTTGTGGGGGTTGCCTTTGAGGCATTTGACCTGGTGGGGAAGAACACATTCCAGAGCTGTAAAAAGATGGCTATCTTCTAGCAGAGATGAGAGGGGGCCTCCCCCTCAGAACCCTTCAGGGGTCCGCTGCACCCATGGGCGTCATTGCAAGCAAGCCCGACCCATCATTCTTCCAGAGGGGGCTTTCCTTGTTGTACAGATACGCCAGGTTTTCAGCCCAGTTTGTTTTACTCCAGAATCACTCTGTGACACCGAGTGAACTTGTGTTGTCTTCCTTCATTGTTCCATGCTGACTGTTCTCACCAGAGGGAATCCTCAACTACTGAGGCTCTTTTCAGTGTTTTCTTTGAAGATAGTGGGAAGTTACTTTAAAAAGGCAGTTAGAGAATCACTTCTGCTAGCTAAATTTTTACTCAGCACCTTCCTGAGAGCTTGCTCATCTGTCAAACTTCTCTTCTTTTCAGTGGAGCTGGATCACAGGATCGACTTTGAGCTCCGAGAGGGCCTCGTGGAGAGCCGCTACTGGTCCGCCGTCACGTCGCACACTGCCTACTGGTCGTCCTTGGATGTGGCCCTCTTTCTTTTAACCTTCATGTACAAACATGAGCACGATAATGACACGAAACCCAATTTAGATCCGATCTGAACTCCTGAAGGACATTAATGGCCCCAAACTGATTTTTTCTGTTAAAATGTGTGTGTCAAGATATGAAGAATTCGGGGTCAAGTATTTTTCAGTTTTGTTTAAGGCAAGAAATATTTGAATTTAAAAGCACTTTATTTTATTTTTTTAAACAAACACGTTTCCAGTCCTAAGGAAGTTTCTAGTTTCCATCCTTTTGATCATGAGTCTGACAGAACCCCCTCTAGAGAATCAAGCAGGACCTTAGGAAGGAAGGATGGTTCAGGTGAACCGGTGGCAGGGCTGTGAATCACAATCTCATCTCTCCCAAAATAAAAGCATATTAATGGGTTGAGTCTAATGTGCTAACCAAAACATTGTTTTAAACTGAAAATGGTCAGAGTCCATTGTATTCCATGTAAAGACCGCAGGTGGGATCATTGTTTTAGATTTCTACAAAAGCTTCCATTCCACATCCCTTTGAAAGAGGAAAATAACAGGGTTAAAATGTTCCAAATTTAACTTGTTTAGAAAAACTGATGCTAAAGAAGAACAATATTTGAATTACTGTATTTATCATTTATTGCCTCTGACTAACTGCTTAATTTCAGTGTATGAAACATTACATTTTTAAACATTTTCTTATACTTTAAGGACCACATTTATTTTCTATACATTAAGACCCTTTTTTCTCAAACTCCATCTTTGTACTCTTCAGATGAATAGACACTGTGGCATACTTCAGTGTTTCTTCTCGTGCTTTCACATAAATAACAGTAGTTCAGTTTTCTAATGAAGTTTTTCTAGACTTGACACGGAGTGCTTCATAATGGGCACATTTCACTTACTTTATTAGAAAATTAATGTCTTTGGAGTAGGGAGTATGACAGCTGTCTTCAATGTACAGACATTGTGTGCCAAACAGTTTATATCCACAAAGGGATGGAATGCCACTAACATTGGATTTTTAAAAGTGCTTGAGAAACCATCGTGATACAGGCACAGTAAGTCGGGGCTCTGAGGCGCTGGGCTTTCCTCAGCTGTAATTGTTACCACAGTGATTTTCATCTGAGGGGCACAAAGTGGAAGAGGGTGCACCAGTCATCCGAGGTGAGTGGACGAGTGTCACTCCCCGGCCCGTGTTAACACCCCGGCGTGTACGTACCTTGCGTGGGGCGACATTCTCCTGGCACGTGTTAACACCCCAGCGTGTACGTACCTTGCGTGGGGCGACCCCGACGGCCCTTCTCTGTGCTGCTCAGTGACTGGGTCAAACGTGACCTCTGGGTAATTTGCAAACAAGTTGAGGTTCAGAATTTGGAAAAATGACTGAGAAGCAAACCTACTACCCTGCCTGATTTCTGTACCTTGGACTGGCACCGAGCAGGTACTTGGAGGGGACAAGTGGCCTCTGTCACACCCAGCCTCACTCCCAGTGGCTCCCATAGGCTCCACTACAGCACCGTCTCTGCGCGTCCTGCAGGGAAGGTCTCAGCTTCCCAGTAGTCACTGTCAAACTGGAGCAAAGTCGGCCAGTTGTGTATCTCGCCTCCTCGTTTCTTTGTAAGATGATGGGGTCTGTGGCTCACTATGGGTTTGACTGAGCACCGTTAGTACTGTTGGCTATTTTGGCCTTTCACTGAATTTGCACAACATAAAGCACTTCTTAATGTTTAAAAAACCAAGACTCCATGGCCAAGTGCGTGACTCACTAGGAAACCCTGCTACACAAGGCTTTTGATGCAGTCTTAGCAAAGCTACAGCAATCTCTTGAATTCAGAGATTCCTGTGAACTCAGGTCATTGTCATGCCCTGTTCATTTTGTAGGTCTCCTTCAGGTCTTAGGAAAATCACAGGCACATTAAGTGACCATGTCGGGGGAACATGTACTTGAGCACACGTTGCCATCAGTAGTTTGACACTCAGATACATACGGACTTGAAGGGATTCATTCCTGACTACTAGATTGTGAAGAGCCCTTTTTACCTGAG